TTAAATATATTGTAAATGACTAAAATAATAAAATAAAAATTGTTTGACAAAAAAAACTAATAAAAATTTAATTATCAGCAAATAGAGTATAAAATAATAAAAATATTAACTCTGTAGACAAATATATTACAAAACATGTGAATTATTTGTGCGATAATTTATTTGCTACAACTTATATATATATATATACTGTATATAAGCTATACTGTATAAATAAAAACTAGTATTTAGTGCATATACTGTATACAGTACTACTGTATTATACCGTATATGTTGTAAATACTATAAAAATAAGTCATTTTAATTCCTATGTTTCTAATTATTGTGTCTTATATTCTTGAAGTCAAATGATTATGACGTCAATTGACTTTACATTTCTATCGGAGTCTAATCTTTACCTCAAAACACCTCAAAAATAAGTCTAAAGTATTTTTAAATTGTGTTTCCTTTTTATTTCATTTAGTTTTTCACAGCTTTGCTAATAAACAGTATTTTCAGACCCAAAATCCCGACACAATTGTTATACAATTCAAATGCAAATCAAGAGTGTGTTTATAAATATCTTTAAATAAAGCTATTATAATAGTAATGTGGTATTTAAATGGCAATAATTTCTAAATTTGATACTCAAATTATCATAAATTCATAAATTGTTTTTTTTAATTAATTTTATTATAAGCCTATTAAATAAATGTTAGTTAAACCATAAATAAACACTTTCAAGTCTAGAAATACACCGATGTATATTATCACATAATTAAACAAATACAGTATACATATCATACATATAATGTAATAATTAGTTTTAAAAATTAATAAATTCTCAATAATAATGAAAATATTTTATCAAAAATAATTATTAATTTATATTTAATAATTTTAATTCTTGCCATAATTTCTATTATATTTAGTATTAAAAACTATTAGTATAAACTAATTTTAAAAATTCAGTATATATTACAGTATTTCTAAATACGATATAACTAATGGTAAAAATGATTATACTGTTATACAGTTAAATTGATTAATATTTGTATTCACTTGCCATATATTAAGCAATAGGATTGAAAAAACATCTAAAGTGATGATAATACCGATGAGATTTGGTATGAATCGACAAATACACACAATATTTTACATAAAAATTAAAACCCTATTTCCTTATTCACTTAAAAGCAAAATCAGTTAAATTAAGTGATTGACAACCATTGCGTGCAAATAATAATTGTAATCAAACATTTAAATGTCTCATCTATAAGATGTTATAACAACTGAGAAAATATTTCTAATAATACAATATAACTATAAAAGTATTAAATTTAGCTAAATTGCTAAATAAAAAAACGGTAAACAATTTTACAATTAACATAAAATTAAAAACTTATAAATAATGTAATTTGTTTTAATAATAATTAATAATTTATTCTAATATTGAATACTTTCTAATTAAAAAATAGTTAATTTAGTTATATCTTATCTTATAATTAGCAGTTAAAGTGTCAAAAGTTATGCAACAAGATATATAATAACTGTATTTAAATGCAATACCAATAGATTATTGTTGTTTTGAATTCAAATTCAATGCTATTATTATTATTTGATGAGTTTTGTCGAGTAGTGCCTCACTTAGAAAAACTGAATATTCATTTAATGGCTTTTAAACATTGAGTTTATATGAGACAAGAAAAATGAGATTAAATTTAATGTATTATTTGATAGAAGGTTTGCGTGAATTTACTTTAATGTATTGACTATAATATTAGAATAAATTGCAAAAAACATTATTATATAATGTAAAAAATATAAATGCCTTTTTAATTTTAAGTAATGTTTTCAGTCTCAATTTGCTTATTATAATACTAGATATTTAAAAAAAAACTTAAACTATAATTATTTTAATACTGATAAATTTATAGTATATCTTTTAATAATTATTTTTAATATTATTATAATTTTTACTCATAGTTTTTTAAATTATCAATATTTTACACTATCGTTTTCCAATAAATATATAAACTGTAAATAATGTGCATAAAAATATTTTTTTTGCATTTGTAAATTATATTTATGCGCTTATTTTATTATTGAAATTTAAAGTTAATTATATATTATTTAATCTGTCCTTTTCAATCATAAAATTAATTTAATTTCGACGTCAAATCGATTAATCATCAAATAATGTAATCATTTTTATGGATAATTGTTATATTAGTTTAAATTTATAACTTTAAAAATATACATTTAAAGTTGTCATAATTATTTTTAAAATATTATATTAAAATATAGTAAATATTTAACTTAATAAATTATAAAATAAACAAATGATCATATAAAAAATAAAGATATTAATCAAACATTGTAAAGCCAGTTAAGACATTTTGAAGATCTAAAAAAATTATAACAACAATTTGATTGATATATAGATACAAAATGATAGGCTTAAAAAAATAAATACTATAAAAAATAAAAATATGATATTATATCAAAAAGCATTAAGAAATACAATTTATATATTTATATATAAAAATTGTGGGAACAATAGGTTTAAAGACAATGTCAAACAAATAGTTTAAGAATTGCTGATCTAAAAGCATGAATGCAAACAATGTGTTTATCACACAATTTTGTGACATTTCATATCTCCTCTATTCACGACATACATACACACACTCTCTATATTTCTTTCACTCACTCACTCACTCACTCACTCTGTCAGTTAGTGTGTGTGAAAATTAAAAAATTTGTTTTATCATTTGACAATAAATTTTACTATTAATAAATCATTAATATTGCTATATAATATTAATTAAAAATAGTTATAATTATAAATAAAATATACTATTAATTAATAAAGATATAGACAAACAAAATAATTAAATGTTTGATGGCTTTAGGTAATATATTAATTGTAATATTTGTTTTATTTATACAAAATTGCAATAATAATTTATTTCAAGATAATTTCATGCTTTAAGATAATAAAACTATACTAGTACATTGCTAATAATAATAATAATAATAATATGCTCAAAAACTAGCTTATTATAATAAAGTAATCGATATCTCTTACTATTAACAATAAAAGCTTATTTTTATACTGATATACACAGTATTACAATATACAGTATAACTATTGTTAAGTTATGTTATCAAGTACTCTATTTCTACTATTTTTATATTAAACAAAAAAGTATTTGCAAACTAAATTACTTTTGTATCTAAATTTTAATAAATATAATATATATATATATTATAAAAATTGTAAGAAAACAAATTTATTTTGCTTAAAAGAAAAATCAATTAATTCAATTGCAGTTTATTTTTTAAAATGAAAAATTAAATTATATAAATTTTTTAATTATTTTTATTAGAATACAAATATATTTATATTCGTTTTATATTATCAAATATAGACTAGAATTAAATTTGTGATATTTTATATAACAATAATAATTAATAAAAATAGATAAAATATATTTGTTTGTGAAAGTAATTGAAAAAAACAAAATAAATTATTATATATCAGTAAACTCTTACACTTTCTCATCGACTAACTGTTTGTTATCTCAAATATATTTCTTATTGTGTTTGTTTAATAAATCAAATAAAAAATATTAAATTTATAAAAATTTACACAAATACACACACAAATAAATTTTGTTTTTTATCTGTTTTTATTTTGGTTTTTCTAATTTTTAAAATTAAAATAAATATTATATTAAAATAACTATGATATATTAAAATAACTATTTTAAATATAATAATTTATATAATATATTTATCATTCAATATTGTAAATATTATAAATTTTATCATTTTTCTAACATTTACTAATTGCATACATTGCTATTCACAGTAATTGGCTTAAAACATTACATAACTATAATAATAATAATTTTTTTTAATGTTCATTGAATTAATTATATCTGACATTTACGAGTTGCTATATTAAAATCTAAATAATTAAAACAATAATAATAATAATTACTAGATTTTTTAGCTCTTAAGATGCGATAAATAATAATAAAAATAACTAATTGGTATTATTGTAGATTTCAATATTATTTAATGAATATTAGATATGAGCTATTGTTAGCAAATGAAATTTTTTAGAAATTTCCAATAAATTTATTATTATTACAATTTTATAATAGAAATACATTTACTTAAAAAGTTTCTCTTATTTTAATAAAATTTCAATTTACTAAATTCATGAGCTAATAGGCGACACAATGCCCATAACTATTATATTACATTATATGGTATATTAAATTATGTAATAAAAGGTATAGTATACATAAAAGAATAATAATAATAATTTTAATAATGAAAATATTTGAAATGTAAAACACATATCATATAATATAATAATATATTTCAACCTCATATCGCATTAAGTCAGCATTTTTTCTATAGATTTAAAAGAAAATGATTTTATATTTGATATTTTAAGCACACATTTATTATAAATGAGTCAAAACATTGGCTTAAACATTGTCTATGGATTTACTGAGAAACCCAACAGTAAAGCACTGGTATGAATGAAAAAAATATACTATTTTTCAACGTATTTGCAAATTGTGTAAATTTATTTGCCTTTTAAACTGATAATAATGTAAATAAAAAGTGCAGTCCTTATTTTGCATGACATTTACTATAATAACCACTGATTTTTAATAGTAAAATATTTTCATCAAATGATAATTGCAACCATTATAAGACTTGTATGTATTTAAGTCTCAAAAAATATCACTCAACTATCTTTCGACTCATAATTTAAGAGTATTATTGAGTGCCCTATAGTTTATATGTCGTCACAATAATAGTGTTTTAACAAAATATATAATTATATGTGAATTAAATTTCATTTTCATGTTTTTTTATATAATGTCTAGAATTTTTGATGAAAACATTACACTATATAAAGAAATTCAGGCTATTTTCAGTGACAAATATATTATTGAAGAAAAAACAAATTATAGATACAAATCAATACATACCAGCGATTCTCGCATTTCTTTGTTATTGCAAACAGTGGTCGTATGGTTTCCGTTAAGTTCAATGGATGTCCTCCTGTAGTCGTGTTCGTTGCCCGAGGAATGGGAGCTTTGGGCACATCCATAGGCGAAACCTGTCTGATCGCTGCTATGACTGCTTGGAGTGCAACCCATAGTCATAACAATTTATTTAACATTTCACAATCACTTAACTCATCAATAATAATAATAATAAAGATAACAATTGTTTATTTAATTATTAATCAGTAACATATGTGTTGATATTAATAAATACAAAAAAATAATGATAAAAAGCACAAATATAACAAATATTTAACAAATAACTTTTTTTCAATTAACATAACATTTTATTGATATATATTTATATATACATATATAAGTTGTAATAATTTTATGTTTGGATGATGAGTTGATGCGACCATTTAGAGCACTGGTAGCCAATAATGTGTTGTACTATTTATAATAAGTGATGTGTCAAATGTGTATAATTTAGTGCAAATTTTAGCTAAAAATGTTTTCATCGGTAATAATGGTGATCACAAACACATATAAATACACAATAATATTAATAATAACAACCAAACACTTAAATACCGTTATTATTATTATTATTATTTGTGTGTTACGTAAAAGTAACCATAAATTTAAACACCAATTTAACCCAAGGTTAGTGTCACTGTTGTGTTGGCCTTATGTGTGCATTATTACTGATGCCTGTGCTCTCCCTCGATGTCTGTATCTGTCAGTATATATACAATAATATTGAAAATGAAAATCTATATACAAATAGATAAATACGAGTAATATAAGAAAGTTTGATCAAAAAAATTGATTATACAAACACATTATGGCTGTAAGGGACTATCACATGAACTAGTATTTGCAATATAATCAATATTATTAGTATACAAATAAATACTAATCATAGAGAAAGTAAAACAAATAAAAACAAAAAAAAATTGTCGAAAATTAAAAGTAGTGTATATAATAATCTAACTCTTTATCACTTAATCATCAAAAAAGGCAAAAACGGAAATATATTTACTATTATTTTTTATTTATATATTTTTTGTACAATTTCTAATAATATATCAAAAGTATTTGTATCAAACATTTATTAGTAAAATAAAATTGTTGAAAATTATTCCTTATTTATATATATATTATATATATTAGGCGATTCTTATGTAAAATGCTATTAAATAATAATATACAGTAAATTAATAATATAATGAAGTTATATAGCATAATATTGAGATAATTTTATGCTGAAAATTATAATTTAACAATTTTTCATGAATAACCTATTTTTGTTTGAAACATGTGTTCATATATACTGAGTGTCTAAAAGAAGGACAGACATGAAAAATGTGATAAAACTGTGGTTTCGACACATTTCTAACAACAAATTCTGTTTATAATTCTATATAGAAAAAGGTAAGTCAAGTCATCGACTCAAAGGGAATTAAATACAAGAAATGTTTTGATACACTATGGCTCACACCATAAAAAAAAGGTAATCTCCAGTTTGGATAAACTAATAAATTTGATCAATAATTGAGTGATTGAAACAACAATTTTTGTTGAACGCAAAACTGCCATTTTATTCCATAATATAAATATATACATAAAATATATATTTACTATAAGTTAAATATATTGTTAGTTACATTACTGATTTGGTTAAAGTTTGCATTACAATAATTATAATTATATAATAAAAAAATAGTATTTTGAGTCTTATTGGCTGAACTCAATTGACACGACATTATAGAATATATTATTAATTGATAATATATTTAAAAGTGAAAGACTAGTAGTTTTGAATGACAGAGCTATTTGTTTGAGTCGAATGTATAAATTTTTTTTATTCTGTATATTATTCTATAAACGAAATTCAGAATATTTTTTTATTTGTGAAAAAAGGTTTCAATTACTTTCTCACAAACTGTTTGTTATTCTGATGTGTGAATACATGTTTTGTGATAAGACTGGCTGTAAGAGAGAGAGAGAGAGAGACTATGATTTATAAGTTGAGACATGATTTCAATGATAATAAGCTAATAAATAATAATAAAGTGTTGTCAACATTTGTGAAATCAAAGTTTATATATATATATACTTCTATATATGTGTCAGAGATTAAAGTATAAAAACAGGAGAAAATTACAAGTAATGCAAACATTACTTTAATTAAGTAATTAAGTATGTATTAAGTGATAGCAATAATATATATATATATATATATAAAATTATAAGATCAATTGACATAATAGTAGTATATTTTGTATTTATTTTCCATTACTGTATGTTTTGGACATTAAATAAACATAAATAGTTAAGATAAATACAAATTATTTTATATTATTTATTAATCATTTGATTACTTACATAACATTTTGTTAGTTGTTTTAATAATATTAATTATAATTTGAATAAAACATGAAATATAAAGTTTTAAAAAATTTGTTAACACAATAGCATATAAAAAGTAATAATTTAAAAGAATATTCACACACACAATGATAATAGCATTTGGAAAACATTTAACTATTGATTACACATGTGTTATACAATAGTTATATTAAATGTTATATTAATAATATGTAAAAAACACTTACAATAGTAAAGTACATACAAAATATTAGGTGATATTCTGTATGTTTTACGGGTAGTGAGTGAGTGCTGTGTTATATCAATAGTGATGTGAATATGTGTCTCATCCAAGAGTTTATACAAATTTGTTTACAATACAAGAGACACACAGACCTGAGTGCACGCAATGGCAGTGCAGTGCATACGGCTTGAAGTTTACTCATATCCAGTGATGACACAATTGGACATAATTTTCATCGAAAGATAGTCGACTCTCAACTAAAAGGTTTGCTAAAAACATACCAAACGATAGATACGTCTCTCACTCGTCAAACGCATAATATGTTTGCATCACTACAACAAACTGGTAGTCGTTGTAATAGTTGTAGTGTTGTTGTTATACTGTATATAAAAGTTGAGCTCAAACTCAGATGTTTGCCTCAGTCACAGACACACCAACCAAACCATTGCCTCTGCAAAGTCAGCGCCAGAGATGTATTGCCTTTCACTCAAACTCACAAAACACATGACATCAATGTATTGGAAAAAACAACTCTAAAACTAAACCAAACTTTTATTTTCATTTATTCAAAATCTTTAATCAATAAAGAAATTGTTTTTGTTTATAAATTTTCCTTTAATTTTATTGAATCACTAATAAATATCAATAATATGAATACCTTTATTTATAAATTTATGAATAAATATAATATATTTTACTAATACTAAAAATTATTTTTTAACTTATTATTAATTATTACAGTTAGTAAAGTTCATCAAAGAATTATAACAGTATTTGTATTAAATAATAATGTTTGTTGTTTCCATACATTTATGTAGATTAAAAAATTAAATACTATTTGTATAGTTAAACAAATGTATCGACAAATTTTCTTTTTTATAAAATCAAATGTCATATACAAACAAACAATAATAAAATACAATTGAATAGCAAATGGAAAGACCGTTTGCGCGGTTTGTCCTAATTTTTCATATTCACCACAAACTGCTTTTTCTATTACTGTTATATACAATAAATGCTATAAGATTTGGTCATCAGAGGGAATAGCGATGTATATATGTTGGCATAAACTGTATGCTTGAGAGGGAGAGTCAATCGCCTACCAGTGCTCTGCAAATGTGTAGTCTTTACATCTAATTCTTTAGTCTATGAATTCTCTAACAAATACTATATTTTTACTGTGAGTTATATAATATATATATGCATTTCACCGCAATATTATTGATCGCATATAAGGCGTATATTGGTATTAGAAATAAATACATTAAAATGTATTGAATTATAGCATAAAAGTTTTTAACTAATATATATATATATATATATATATACTATCTACAGTATTCTCACTAATAAACATTATATTCATAATAAAGTAATATTTCTAAAACGGGTATAACTTAAAAAAATTGGCTCAAAATATGAAATCATAAATCAAGTTTTTCAAAAAAGTGCCACAAATATCTCTCTCTCTCTCTCTCATCTGACTCACTGACACACACACTCACTGGTTGTTTCAAAATTTGTCGTAACCTTTTGAAGTATAAGCGCATAAATATACGGTATTTATGTGTATGTGTGGTGTTATGCTTAAGAATATTCTTAAACAATAAATAAATTTAGTAATGAATAACATAAGTGTGTATAAATATCCTAAATATCTATAACAAGAGCACACATAAATGTATTGTATGTCACACACACACACACACACACACATAATGTATATACTGTATATAATATTTTGATAAAACAAATGTGCATTAGTTGTGCCCCAAATGCTTAGGTAGTCATATAGATTAGATCTACTGTTGCTAAATGTAATGTAAATTATATATCATATAAAATATAGAGTAATAATAATAATAATAATGTATATACATGTCTATCGTCGGATGATTTTATAGCAAACAATAGAGACTCGTGAATGAGAAACAAGTCATTCATAGATTAATTGCCGCAATCTTTAAGAATTTTCTGTATTTGTTTGTCAGCACTCGTCAGCACAAAACTATCAGTGCTTTACCTAACAGTGCTCTCAAACAATACAATTATAAATGACTTTTACAAACAAATATAAAAAGATACATAAAAATTTTCAACACTATTTGCCCACAAATTTCACATTACTTTCAGACATGTGTTTATATTTTTATGTAATATTTTAAATTGTTGTTACACTGTATTATTGTTACAATAGATTAACTTATTGATTATATAATATACAATGTTATATTTATTTTTATACCCTTAGTTCATATATGATATAAAAACTTTTTAAATAGTTATTATTATTATTATTATTATCATTGACGTGATATTAAATATTAGTTTGTATTATAATATTATTACAATGTATTTAAAATTATAGTGTTAATAATTATAAGTATGAATGAACTCATGGGAAATATACTTATTGGAAATTTTGACAATTATTATTTTGACATCAATAACAAAAATAAAGTTAATGTAATTTATTGTATATATTATAATAGCTTATAAAAAATTAGTTATTAAATTTTACTCTACCTTATATTAGTAGTAGTTGTAGTTGTAGTTATATAAAAGTTGTTTTAG